AGCTGCAGCTATTGTTGCTATTTTGGTGGTTGCAATTGGTTTGAAAGTTGCATTCGTCGGTTGGTTTTGGTTGCTGCATGACTTTGTTCTTGCTGATTCGTGATGATACAATTTCACATATGCATATTTGGCAACTGTTATTTGTGTTGTTCGGGGGCTGGAATGTTGCAGCAATATTTGCTCAGGCATGTGCTTTGCTGGTTTGGTGTTGGTGCTGCAAGTTGGTGCTACCTTTTGGTGTTGCTTCAGATTTTAGTTGGCTGGTTGTATTTCTTCTTGTGTTGGTGCTGGTGCTGAACCATTTTGCTGGTTTGGTTTTGGTGAGGTGCTATGGTTCCGTTTTTTAGTGCAGATCTTGAAATTGGTTTTGCTGAATCAGTGGGATTATTTTGGTGCCTGGATTCCTTGGCTGCTAGATGGAGTCTAGTTATTATATTTTTTTTGTCTAACTTGGGTTTTTCCGGTTGTGCTAGGCATGGTGCTGCACTAGAGCATGGCTTGTGTTGTTTAGCATTGAATATAGGTTGAGTTTTGTTATTGTTTTTTCTTTACTTTACTTTTTCTTTGTAAGTTTTTTTTTTATGGGTGATCCCTCCACCTTTTAATAAATAATATCACTTTCGTGTTATTTTAAAAAATATATTTTAATATTTATTTATAATTAAATAATGCGACAATTAGTGCATAACATTTAGAGATTAAAAAAATTAAACAAATAATAACCATGTTAATAACATTTATTAATAAAATAAATATCAATCACTCTATTAAAATATATACAAATGAATATCAAATTGATGTAAAATTAAATTTTTATATTTTTCTAAAATATAAGAATTAAATGTTTCTTTTTAAAATAGAAGGACCAAAATTTTGAATTGACAAAAAAAGAATAAAAATATAATTTAACATAAATTTACTCATCCAAAAAGAATTTTCAATAATTATATTTTTTTTATAAAGTACTTTTTGAAAGTTTTTTTCTTCTTCAAAATGTCGTTTCCAAGACTATGTTTTAACATCCCTAAACTCAAAGAGTAAAAATATATTTATGCATAGTACTTTTCAGAAGAGAAATATTTTTACTTTTTTAAGAAATATTTGAAAATATATATTATGCTTCTGAAACTTTTCCAAAGTATGTTTTAGTACAACAAACTTGAAGAATGAAAATATATTTTCTGAATATACTCTTCTAGAGAGAATACATGATTCTTGAAAGTACTTTTTGGTAGAGTCATCAAAATTCTTGAACCAACCTAGTCCAACAGAGGTTTGAGCTAAGTTGGGTCAGAAAAATTTGACTAATTTTAATTTAAAGAAAATTTTGGCTTGACTCACCATGGGCTAATTTGTGGTGAGCCAAGTCGCTCATGAGTTTGCCCACCAAGTTTACTTTTTTAGTTTTTGGCTCTTAAATGTTAAATTGATATTAGGCTAAATTGGATTTTTAGTCTCCTTATAATGTCAAATATGTAGTTTTGGTCTCTTTATTTTAAATTTCACAATTTTTGTCCACCAATTTTATAAAATCAACAATTTTGATCTCCTCTGGGAGCAGAGCAGGGATAGGTTGGTGGCTAGTGGCAGGACTGCAAATGGCAGATGCTGGATGATGTACAAGTGAGAGAGAATCTGACGTTTGAGAAGTTGCCAGTAGCCGTGGTTGATCATAAGCTGAAGGAGTTGAGGGGCAAGTCCATTACTTTGGTAAAAGTGTTGTGGGATGCAGCTACTGGTGAGGCTACTTGGGAAGTGGAGCAACAGTGCAAGGAGAGGTACCCATTTCTTTTCCCAAGTAAGTCTATTTTCGGGGACGAAAATTTCTGTTGATGGGGAGATTGTGAGACCCGCTGTTCCTTTCCTTTTTCACTCTCTTCTCATTCACTCCATCTCACTTTCTTCTTCATTCTCTTTGCCTCCTTCATTGATTTCCCTTTTATTCCTTGCTGTCTCAAGGTACTGATTCTTAGAGGTTGGACTTGCTGAGGTGTGGATGTTCTTTTCTTCTCTTCCCCGTTCAAGCTGTTCTCCATTTTCTCCCTTCCGTTCTTCTCTTCCCGGAGCTCGGATCTTCGTACCGAGGTAAGGGAAGCTAGGTTTATGGCTGTTTGGATTGGAAATGAGTTCATAAACTCATTGTGTAGCTGATTACCCGTTGATTGATGAGCTGTGGTGATGAATATCCATTTTTGGGTTTTTCCGGGGTGGGGTGAAAATTTGGGGATTTTCATGATTTGTGATTGCATGCTGAAAATGATGTGTTTTTCGTGATGTTTGATGAAAATGTGGACTTTTGGATGGATTGCATGTTGGTTTTCTGGCTATTTTTGCAGGATTTGGTGAAGTTTTTCGAAAATGGAGGGTTGCTGCTGAGCCTCGCGCTGAGCGCTGTTCTTCGCGTCGGGCGCGTGACCACTAGGGGGCTCCATTTAGACAAGCCCGCCGGGCGCAAAGGTGTGTGCGCCGGGCGAGCTTGAGAATGGGAGCCTCTGGATGGCCCACGCCGGGCGTGACTTGGACTGCGCCGGGCGCGATATCAGTTGTAACATTTTTTGGGGTTTCTAGTGCTGCGCTAGGCGCGAGTTTGGTCTCGCTGGGCGCGGAGGCTCCTTGGGAGTCTCTGCCATGGAGGTGCCGGGCGTAATTTGAATTGTGCTGGGCGCGAGACCTTGGGAGGTCTCTGCCTTCCCCGTGCTGGGCGCGGGCTAGGGCATACCGGGCACGCGAGACTCCATAGAGTCTGCCTGGGCATGCGTTGGGCGCAATTTTATATTGCGCCAAGCGCGGGAGAGCCTTGGGCTCTCTGGCTGGGTCACGCCGGGCGCAGGCATTCTTAGGTCGAGCGCGCTGGCCCCTGGTGCTCTCTGGTTGTGCCACGCCAGGCGCGACCATGAGTGCGTCGGACGCGTATGATGATGATGAATTATATGCTGATAGATGTTAATTTTTGTTGAAATTGTTGATAAATGTTGTTTGATGTTGAACTAAGCTGAAATTGATGAATATGCTGTGCTAACTAGATGATAATGCTGAAAAATGTTGTTAAGTTGTAATAGATGTATAATGTCATGCTGAGCTGAGCTATTATTGATGATTTTAATGCTGAATTATAATATTGTTGTACTATAGAATGATGAGCTGAGTTGTGAGTAGTAAGCTGTGTTGAATACTACTTAGTTGTGTTGTATGCTGATTTGTTGTGCTGTGTTGTGAGTTGTATTAGCTGAGCTGTATGTTGATTATTAGTCACTATTGTGGTGTTTTTATAGCCGCTAAGTCGGTGCTGTTATTGCCGCTATGCGGTACTGTTATAGCCACTAGAGTGGTGCTGTTATTGCTGCTATGCAGTGCTGATATTGTCACTTTGCAGTGCTGATATTGCCGAATGTTGTGGTGTAGTATAAGATGGTTGATGTGCTGATAGCTGTAGTTTTTTACATTCACATATTTATATATGTATGCTGATTTCTTATCACTAACTTACCCTTCGTTGTTTCCATGGTGTTTGGACTGCAATGATCATACAATGTATGGGAGCAGAGCAGGGATAGGTTGGTGGCTAGTGGCAGGTCTTTTAGTTTAGTTTAGTTTAACAATTTGAACACCCCTAGTTGTATCGCTTTCTTTGAGCCTCAGTTCTGATTTGGATGCAAGTGCCATGGGACGACTTTGGATTTTTAATGTAAGATTAGATTATTTTCATGCTTACCAATGATATTTTAGAAACGGCAGACATCAATACTAAGATCGAACAATGGTGAAGGATTAAAGTAGCATGCACATGATATTATGTTCAAATCCCATCACTCAAATTCCTAGAGATAAAAAAAATATAGTAGACAAATTTCGTTTTCATTTAGTTTTCATTCCTCCGTCTTCCTTTCTTTAAGGTTCTTCAGCAATACAACATAGCATGAGACACTCAACAAAAGCGTCATAGTAAAGTAAGAGCATTTCTAATGCTAGGTTCTTATCCGGTTCTTAAGTTTAATAATTCATTATTTATAAAAAAATGTGTATTAGAGCATGTTGACATAACAGGTCAAGTTGCTAAAATTCAAGCATCATTACTTATATAAGAGACAGTTGCTTCAGAATAAAAAAATTATTTAATATTTTCTTCCTTTACTGATGCCAATAATTATAATAATTAAAAATTTTAAAATTTATTAAAAATGAAACATGAGTGATTAAAAAGTGGAGGTACTTATAAACATTTTTTATTAGAATAGAAGTTATAAAAATGTAATATAATTTGCTTTTGAGTGACATGGCAGTATAGAATCCATTAAACAACTTTTATTGAAACAAAAATTATAAAAATGTAATATAAATTATTTATGAGTGACATAACAGTATGAGATCTATTTAAAATGAATGAGAGTTACTTATAAATAACTTTCGTTTATAAAAGCCAGCTTATATCACACTTTTCAATACAGTGACGGAAACCCAGTACTTTATGAGCCTTAAATGATAACTTGATATTGAGGGGAACATGGGCCCCCATATTGCTCAGTGTAGGTCTGTCATTGCTTCCAATTATAGCAATTATATTTGACCAGAACTAAAATCCATCAATTTTCATTCTAATTTCACAATGAGAAATTAGATATTTCTACAATTAAGACCACTTCAAGCTCGTGTCCAACCAAAGGTTAGCCAACAAAAATGTAAGTACCACTATTGGTTGAATTAAGATTGCAAATTACTGCCAAATTTGCAAATTCTGCAGGACTAGCGTTGTCCTAAGGTGATAATGTGTCAATTCAGTCGGTGTGTTTTAAAGCATGAAAGAAGAATCTTCTAGAGAAATACTGGAAAAGTTATTGAGTAATCAAATCAAATAATGCTAAAAGGCCATCTGGGATGTAGAAGGAAAATTTTAAAAAAATGAAAAATCTTCAAATTCAAATTTACACTTTGGTGCTACAAGATGAGTGGCACATACGAATGTACAGAGTTTAATTTTTATATGCTATGGGTGTAATTTTTTGTATAATATTAACCACTAAAAGTCAACTTAAATATAAGTTTTGAAGAAATTATCACAAAAACCAACAATTTTTAATCCCATGCTAAACCATGATTCAATGACAATGTTTACATTCAATGTATTCCAATTAAATTCGGTTGCTATATTCATCCATGCCATTTCTTGCAAAAGATATGAAATTCCTTCAACTTAAAATTCATTCAATAATCAATATCAACATACCTATGCTCTAGAACTCCCACCATGATCCCTCTCAACATGCTCCACAAGCGACACAGGATCTCGAAATCCTCTACTACACTTTGGACAAACATCAATTGTAACCTTTGCTCCAGATCGGTTGCCACTCCTTTCATGAAAATTTTGCACATGATCCACCAATGTAGTAACCGAGGAAAACTTGGCACTACACTGAGGACATTGCTCCACTTGACCACCATTATGGCTCTGTCCAACCGCTCCTCTTGCTGTCTGCCAGGCTTGGTTAACTTCACCACTCAACTTTGATACGCCAGCCTCAGCTGAAGCTCGAATGTTAGATGCCGTATTAAGAAAGCTTGTAGTCCATTTAGATGATGCACTTGAACTTGACTTGGGTTTGGACCCCTCCTTACTCCCATTCAAAATATTCATAAATGAAAAACTAGTTTGCAAATTTTTGGGACCAGGACATTTATGATCGGGTCCATACCGATGCTTTAAACAATGGTCTACTGTGCAGTCCCTGCACTTAATTGTGTTTGAGAATACTAATATCTCTCTGCATCCAGGGACAGGGCATTTCTTCTTCTTCGTGACTTTCTCATAGTTTGATGGGTCGCACTCAGTGTTGACATGATTCTCCCAAGTTATGTTTGGATCTTGATCAGGAACTAGGCGAACTCCTTTGGCGCAAAGTGGACATATAACTACAGTGACATCTCGCTTGTCAGCTTTTGTACACTGATGTTTAATGTAGCTTCTGTGCTCCAAACAATACACCTGCAATAGATTTGGTTGATATAGTTAGATCAAACAAAAAAAATCCTAAATTGATAATTCGATACCTAGATAAGTTCACAGAATGTCATCAGGAAAAATCACTAACCAGAAAATATTGTTTCTTGCATGAACCCAAGAAGGTCATCATGACGGGTGCAAAAGTCTTGAGTCAATTTCCAATCTTTAGAAGTTTAAAACTTTACAACATCCCTTCACTGTTTAAGCATATATTCTTTGATGATATTTTTATTTAGTGGACTGATGCTCATGGAAATAAAAATAAGAACAATACTCAGATGCAATTCCTACTGATCAAAAAATGATGGAATTTCTTAAGTATTATTTTGTGTTATTCTCCAATTAAAATTGAAGTTTAACCTTAGTAACCCCACACAATAAAGGTCAACATTTATAAAAGGTAACTCCAATTTTAATTATGGAACTATAAAATAAGAGCAATATTGATGGAGGCCCATGGGCCAAAGACCCAACTACTAGGGCTATGGTTAAGAGGATACATGAAGAATGGGCCAGTGCTAAAGAAAAGCCCATAGTTCTTTTTAGTTGGGCTATAACCTAAAGCCCATGTAGAATAGGTTTGGGCCCAATGGGCTTGTATTTTGGCCAAGAAGTGTAGGAATTTCATTTCATTGTAATTTAGGTTAAATAGGAGTTTCATGTGCATCTCAATTTAAATGTCATTAGTATCACATTTAGAGAGCATTTCGGCTATGTGCACACATGCACATGGGATGACCGAAATTCACTCTCAAATGCATGCTAAATCACATTCAAATTGAGTAGCACATGGGGGGTGACCGGTTTGGCACCAAAATTTGAATTTAAACAGTCAAATTTTGGCACCTAAGGTTTAGTTAACCATATCATGGTTTAACTAAACCTTAGGTTAACTAAACTTCCCTAGCACACTCCATTAGCCTATATATCTCCTGTTGGACGTGTAATCTCACACTTTGGATATTGAATGAGAATTACTTCTATTAGAAGCTCTTTTCTCTCCACCGAAGTCACCTTAGGAAGAAACCTTTCTTCTAGTCACCTTGAGCCTTTCTCTTTGTAAATTTAGGAACTCGTAATTCTATTCGAGACTCTTGGCTCATCCTTGGTTAACATTGCTTCTCTTGTTTGCTATTCTTCCTTGGATAATCTTCAAGGATCTGTGGAGAAGTTTAAATCAAGATCATGGAGATTCAACTCATGAAGACTCCATCAAATATACATAGATAGTAGTTAATAGCACTACGGTGAGATAGCAGAGCGGCTTTCAATAGCAGCCACACACAATAGTGGCACGAGCATGATACAGGCTTCAAAACCCCACTTTTACTCCTCAAACATTATTGATTGCGGGGCTGGATAAAATATTCCACAAAAGTTTAATTCTCTTTTGACCTTTAGTCCTTCATACATTATAGAACTATTTTTTTTATCGTGTTCCGTTCTTCCTTCTTCCTTTATTCCCACCCAGTTCACATTCTGCTAATATTTTATCAAACTAGTTATCTTCTTTTTCTATTAATTTCACCCGTTCTTTCAGTTTTTGACTTCATAACTATGCTCTTATTGCTTCTAGATTGCTGATGGTTGTGTGAGTTAACTGTGACTTATTATTCATCACGAATTTCTTTAGTTTAATTTTGTTTTGTTGAGTATTCATGTGTTGTATAAATTATTTAGTTTATAAAATAATATTTAAAACATTGGGCTTCCTGCTATTGTGCTACAGGTTTTTCACTTTCAAAGTTAGCTGTTACTCTCCAAGATTGATAACTACGACTTAGATAGAATTCATTAAGTGCTTTAGGTGTTACTCTCTTATTAAAATTGGAGTTTCACTTTAGTAACCTGTAAAATAACGGCTGGCATTGATTACAGAAGCAAAAGTTCAGTTTTAATTAGAAAACAACCCTACAAGTACCTCAAAAATGCACCTTATATTTATCCTAAAGATGACCATAAGCCTCAAACTCAACCATAAGGATCCAATTGCTCCTATCATCACTTTGGTCTCCCACTCAACCATCACTCTCCTTATCTCTTAGTTTATAACTATTTCCACTGGCGTTCCTAATTAATGAAGCCACCTTCTCCGCACTTTTCTTCTATTGTTTTATGCTGCAGACTTATACAACTAACCAACTTTTCCATCTCAAAAGCAACTCTTCTTCGTCATTATAATTCCTATGTTCGTGCGTAGAAACACTCCTCTTGTCGTTCTTCCTTCTTGGTCTTCTGAGTCTTCGTGCCGACCGAATACTGTCTCCGAGGGGAGTGGAGGGTACCTGCAAAGGCAGTCCAACGATCAAGGGAGTATTCGGTATAGGGCAATAAGTGTTTTTATATTGGATAATAGCGTACCTCATTTATGTCCCATCACCTGTGTATTCATAGTGACGTATTTGGGCCTGGTGGGCCTTCTGTCTGGGGAGATGGGTAATGTTCTTAGTTAACGTTAATCTCTCGTGATTAACCTTAATAAGCGTTACTTATTTGGTACCGTAATCTGCCTTGGTTATCAACATGAGTAGTCCCTCAACTGGGCCCTCGGTCAGGTTCAAGGCCGAAGGGGTATTCGGTCAAACTCGAAGCCGAAGGGGTCTTCGGCTTGACCCATGATCGAAGCACTTGGCTTTGTTCCCTCGGCCAAGCTTGGCGCCGAAGGGTTATTCGGTTGAGCTCGAAGCCGAAAGGGTCTTCGGCTTGACCCATGACTGAAGCACTTGGCTGTGTTCCCTCGGCCAAGCTCGACGCCGAAGGGTTATTTGGTTGAGCTCAAGGCCGAAGGGTAATTGGGAGATCTCATTTCCATGTGGTTCGTTCCTTCAGGTACACCGTAGCTGAAAAGGTATTCGGTCTAGCCCAGAACCGAGGGGGTGTTCGGCCTAGCCCCGAGCCGAGGGGATGTCCGACCATGCTAGTGACCGAGGGATCAGTTGGGTGACTTGAGGTGAGCCTTGGGCCATTCCTTTGCCCGAAAGGGTATTCGGCCAAGTCCCATTCCGAACAGGTATTGCGATATGTGTCATGTCGGTTCGGGCCTCCTAGTCGGCCAATAATCTGACCGAAGGGATGTTGTGGTGTGTGCCATGTCGGTTCGGGCAGCCTACTCGGCCTATAGTTTGACCGAAGGGATGTATACTAGTACACTACCCCCCCAAGCCCAAGGATGAAAGACGAAGGGGTTTGTAGGTGCTGAAACATGTCGAGGTTTTTTAGGGTTTTTGGTCATGGGGAGACGTGCTTTTTGGGAGTCGTGATGTTTTGATCGTGATCGTTGCATGCTGTGAACGGCTTTGGTTTCCGTGCCCTGGGGTTACGTCGTTTCGCCTCTGGGGGCATTTATTACGAGTCTCTTGGGTTACCCTTGGGTTGGCTATATAAGGGGTGGGGGTGGGACACCATTCCTCACACTTTCTCCGTAGTAAATACTGCCCCCAACTTCCCCTCTTCTGTGAGTCGAATACTCCTAAAGGTGGGTTTTTGTGTTTTTGGTAAGTTTATTGCGATAATGGCCACCGAAGGTGTCACATTGTCATCAGGGTCGTCGGCCAGTGCTAGGGTTTCGGCGCAAGATGCCGAGGCCGAGATGTTGGCCTTTAATGCCGAGGTGGAAGCAGTCGAGGGTCTTAAGGAATCGGCATCCGGCGGTAGCGGGGAATCGGGTAGTTCTTCGTTCGGGTCGGATTTACCCGACATCGAAATGAGTCCTGGGGATTATAGGCAGAAATACCCCCCCCTGTGAGATCCCGGGGTATGAGTGGGTCGATGGGGAGGTGGCGGCGTATTACTCTCGTTTTTATGAGAGGGCTGCCGTGGTTCGGCTCCTTAGCCTTTGTACTTTGGGCCGATGGGAAGGCTGGGATCCGTATCCTATAATGTTGCGTCGATGCCGGGCCGAAGGCCCTGGGGGGCTTGACCTGGTTTTTCTTGCGAAGCAGGAGGGTCAGGGAGATTTCTTTTACATGTACGAGTGCTTCTTCCAAGAGCTCGGCATGTCGCTCCCCTTCGACGACTTTCAGATGGGGGTCCTTCGTGTGCTGAACGTGGCGCCGACGCAGTTGCACCCGAACGCGTGGGCGTATATGCAAGCGTTTAGGGTACTTTGTAAATACCATTATATAGAGCTGACCGTAGGTTTATTTTTACATTTTTTCTGTACTCGTCCTTCAAATAAAACCGTGAAGTGGCTTTCTTTAATTCGGAACGCCGACCGTCCATTGTTGAAGCCTTTTACCTCGTCTTTTAAGGGTTTTAAATCGGGGTTTGTGAAGGTGATCATAGACCCTGTTGCCGGCCGGAATTATTTTTACGATGCCGAGCAGAAGCCCCTTTTTCTGTTTTACTGGACCCAGCAGCCTCGGAAATATGATGATTTTTCGGAGGACATGATGACCGATGCTGAGTTGTCGACCTTAGATGTCTTGAAAGGATTGTCGAAGTGCATACCCTCTCGGTTTCTGGTGCTGCTGCCCAAGTCGTCCCGGCCTCGTTATGATTTAGAGGGTACGTTTTAATATTGTCGATTGGTCGTTCTTGTTAAGTTGATGTGTGACTGTTTGTTTTTTGCAGGCTGGATGGCGCAACAAGGTCTGGGACTGTCGTATCGGCAATTGATGAGGAGTCGGGCCCCTGCCGGGACTTCCGCTGACGACCATTGAAGCGTGGCAATTGACCCGACACCTCATGCCGAGGATCCTCCTCAACCGACACCGGTGGTTGTGGCTCTTCCTGATCCTAAGGGAAAAAAGAAAAGAGACAAAGGGAAAAGGAAGGCCAATGTGGCTGGCACCGAAGCCTCTCGGCCTAAGCAACGCCGGGTTGAAGGGTCATCAGATTTGGCGATTCCGTCGGCCATAGTTGCGAAGGACTTCCTTTCGGAAGAAATTAGGCTGGCCCGAATGATGTCGTCGGATCTGCTGTCGGCTCAAGGTCATATGATGCTCGACTCGGCCACTCCCTCGGCTCAATGGGCCATGGCTTGCGAACTGCATGTCCGGGCC